TTCAAACCTCAAAAATCATGTTGATTGATCTTAAAACAATTGACCTTCACTTTAAATGCTCAAGTCTCTCCTTGAATAACCAGGTTTTATCTCCAACAAAACCGAATACGTGTAATAGGTGCTCTTTTACACCTCTCAAACCACATCATGCCCAAAAGAGATGAAAAAACTAGAACTCACTTAAAATACAATAATATGCTTAAAAGAAGTTCAATTACACTTATCTAACCTATAAAAGAAAGCAATTCCTAATCGTTATCACTTATGAAATAAGATATAAGGCCATCTAGAATTTGTATTTATCTCATTTTGTTTGATTTTTTATGTACATAGNAATCAAAATACAACAACAATTTCAAAATCTTCTCTTACTGAATTCTTTTTACATGACATCTTTTAAGTTCCGAAGCACTTGCAAAACTTCATCCTCAACTTCAAACCTCAAAAATCATGTTGATTGATCTTAAAACAATTGACCTTCACTTTAAATGCTCAAGTCTCTCCTTGAATAACCAGGTTTTATCTCCAACAAAACCGAATACGTGTAATAGGTGCTCTTTTACACCTCTCAAACCACATCATGCCCAAAAGAGATGAAAAAACTAGAACTCACTTAAAATACAATAATATGCTTAAAAGAAGTTCAATTACACTTATCTAACCTATAAAAGAAAGCAATTCCTAATCGTTATCACTTATAAAATAAGATATAAGGCCATCTAGAATTTGTATTTATTTCATTTTGTTTGATTTTTTATGTACATAATAAAGTTTAGTCGTAGCAAGTGAAAATATTTAAATTAACTTTCTCGATTTTTTTGAAAAATAACTCTTACTGTAATTTATAAAGTGAATGTTATACAACAAAAAAATTGACATTGACAATTGCCCATCGAATGATTTCAAGACTACGCCATTGCTTGACCCCTCTTAAAATAAAATTCCGGTTTCATTTATTACAATAAAATTAAACTTTAGATTTACATAAAACATAACAATGAGCCAAACGTTTAAGTTCGACGACTTATCTTACAATTTATTTTTAACCCATTAACCACTACAAACATATTAACCATAGCAAATATTTCAACAAAACACAATTATTTTAATACAGATCTAAAAAACGTTCTTTGCATGAGGCACTCTACTCTATTCACATTTCATTAGATTCTAACAACAGCAACAACAACAACAAATAAAAAAAAGTAATTTAAAAGGAATCGTTCAAGGGGCACAACCAACTCCTACAACAAATCTACAATAAATAGACCGTGAAGAACGATGTGAAAACATCTACACCTAATAGAGACTGTGAATAATGATATGAAAAGAGACCTTGCCAACTTCGCCATTGACCTCATTGATTTTTTCTCACAATATCTCCTACAATACATTTTATTTTTATTTTGACGGAGTACCTATCATTAATGAATGAGGGAGGTCAACGATAAATCAAGGCGGAGTCAAGAATTTAGTTTAGAGTGAACAGTTTAATTACACACTCTAATTTTTTTTTCCTAACTAATCAAACTATATAATATGTTTATATTTTATCATATCATATTTGATACAAAAAGTCCATTTAACTTTAATTGTCATTTTTATAATTAAAAAATATCAGCTAGTCACTAACAATCAATTAAATTTATTCAATAAACGATGTTCCAAACATTATTATTGAGATATAAGCATAGTAAACTATTAAACTAAAATTTAAAAGCTAAATATAAGAAAAATTGATTGATACATAATAAGGATTATAATTAATACTCGAATAGAAATAGAGACGATTTATCGTAGAAAAATAAAAATCAAATTAAAGTTAATTGCAAGAACTCTCATTTGCAAAAAAATCATAAATAATAAAATTAAGGTCATTTAGAGAAAACCTTAATACAGTAATAAAAAAGACTAAACAATTGAATTATAAAAATTACAAGGTGGGCACAAGTAAAAAATATATGTATAATTTTAGAATATATAAATATAAGTATACATATACTATTTAAAAAAAAAAAAGACCTTGCTCCAATGTAGCTCCACCTATGTTGATAAAAAAACACTTTCTATTTTTAAAAAAGACCATGCTCGGACTAGCAAATGAGTAACCCGATTTATTTATCAGCAAAGAAACTCACGTATATGCAGTGAGATCCACCTGAATGTGCACAATAGACTGATCTTGTGTTTGTTTAGCGTATTGAGAGATTTCGCTCACATGTGAGCCTACCCAAATTATTATTGTGTTTCTTAACCCTTAAGACTAACAAATAATTTATTTAAGTAGACAATGTCCATTGTGAAGCATAAAAATAAAGTGTGTAATTATTGTGTCAATCCTAGGACGAACAAAGTTGTTCAATTTTTTATGTGCTGAATATGAAAAAGATGGGTTTGGCTGTAGAAAATATATATTTTTATTTCTTTTTGACCTTGGTAACGTATCTCGTCTTTTCTTTTTTTAATTTTTTATTATAGAATATTTAATCTTGTATCAACTACTTCCTCGATCCTTAATATTGACCATTGTAACTCGAGTTAGTTTAGAAAATATGAAAAATATTAAATCTGAGACCTTTTATTATCACAATAAGTCCTTTTCAATTAGAAATAAAGAAATATAGCCACTATAAAAGAAAAAGGGCTACAAANTTTCTTTTTTTAATTTTTTATTATAGAATATTTAATCTTGTATCAACTACTTCCTCGATCCTTAATATTGACCATTGTAACTCGAGTTAGTTTAGAAGATATGTAAAATATTAAATTTGAGACCTTTTATTATCACAATAAGTCATTTTCAATTAGAAATAAAGAAATATAGCCACTATAAAAGAAAAAGGGCTACAAAGATTGCAAATGAGCAATATTTTAAAATATTGTGATTGATCATAAAAAAATATAAGTTTTAAAGGTAAACTTATACATTTTAATCGTGAAGTTATATCTGATTGAAATTATTCGCGATAAGTTATAATATTTTGTGATTGATTATGAACAATTGTAACTTGAANGATTGCAAATGAGCAATATTTTAAAATATTGTGATTGATCATAAAAAAATATAAGTTTTAAAGGTAAACTTATACATTTTAATCGTGAAGTTATATCTGATTGAGATTATTCGGGATAAGTTATAATATTTTGTGATTGATTATGAACAATTGTAACTTGAAGTCCGTAAAGTGTAATTTAATTTGTAATGGTGGTATTTTTCGCTATCATATTTATCCAAAGAGGGCAAAAAAACAAAAAGAAATATATTAGAGGTACATATAAGAANAATTTATTTTTAACCCATTAACCACTACAAACATATTAACCATAGCAAATATTTCAACAAAACACAATTATTTTAATACAGATCTAAAAAACGTTCTTTGCATGAGGCACTCTACTATATTCACATTTCATTAGATTCTAACAACAGAAACAACAACAACAAATAAAAAAAAGTAATTTAAAAGANAATTTTTTCCGTCCTTGGTGCTTCATGCCTTTTTCGCTCGATTTGACTACATAATTAACCAAATTAGACTACGGCCTGACGTCCGTCCTCTGCCACACTCTCTCTCCTCATCTCATTGGCGGACGCCAACGCCATTCTTCAATCCAGTTTAATCAAAAATCCCAAGCCTCGCACTAGACTTTTGGATTTGACCAGCCGACCCAGTCAACCGGTCGCCTCCTTCCCTGACTTTTATCTACCCAACCGGTAAAACTCTCGCCACCCGAAACCCGACCCAACATCCGTGAGGACCGTGACCCTTTTTATTTCATTTTAGTCCTTGAATTATCAATCCTTTGCATAACTACTTCAAATTAAATTGATAATTGATTTTATTGGAATATTTTTTTTATTTTACTCCAAACTTCTTCTTTTTCTTCTTTACTTTTTTTTATAACGAAGAACCACTTCAAGATAGGGTTATATTAGACTACCCTAGCAGAGTAAATTATGGATATCTATAATCATTTACTAATAGTAAGTATCTGATTAATTTGGGTCAAATTATATTTTTTTGGATTAAATTATAATAAAATGTAATATTTGGGTTCGATCTTCAGAATCAATACTAATTCTTTTATTGATGTGATTAATTTAGTACCTGATTAATTTCTGTCAAAGTATAGTGAAACCAATACACCTATTCAATGGTTTTATACAAAAAAGAAAAAAAAACCTTATATTTTAGAGATAAAGTGAAATTGGCGGGGTGTTAATGGAGAAATACTTCTAGAAGGAGTAAAGTAACCATATTTTATTGGGGTCTGACTGTCATTTACCGTTACTTTCAAAATATTTTTGCATTTCACGCTCATTTCCACTGCATTTCGTTGTAAATTTCAACGTCATTTCATTTCCATCTCCATTTCATTTCATTTCAATTTCAATTTCAATTTCAATTTCAATCTCTCTCCCTGTCTCTCTCTCTCTCTCTCTGAACTCTTCACACTTTCCACACTCTCTGTCTCTTTCTCTACAATACAATCCAAGCCTGCGTTTTCACTTTCTCCATATATATCAGTCTAAACATATACACAGACATATTGATAGAATTTTCTCTCTCTTCTCGGTGGTATCGAATAAGTGCGTGCTGTGCTTATCAATATCGAATATCAACATCTATGTATGTATTGGATCTGGGTATCTGTCGTTTTCGAGTGAACTTTAGAGAATGGAGGGGGAGATAAAGAGGGAAGCGATTTGCTTCCGATTCTTGTCAAGCTGTTGTTACCAACTTTCTCTCACTACCGATCCATCCATGGATGAATGAATGCTGGTACACTTGTTACTGTTTGTGTTTGTTCAGATCTGTCAAATTTCTCGTCGATCTTAGAGCTTGACTTTACTTGGAGATCTTGAGCATCGGTGAGTTTGTTTGATTAGCTCCATATCTCGCTCTTCATTCATCTTTTCTTTGTTTCTGTTGTTAAAACTTACATCGATGAATTTGAAATAACTTTCGTGTCATGGATGATGGTTTTTTTTTTTTTTTCATTTTACCCTTTTGCTTGATTGCCGAGAAAAAGTGGGAAAATTGAAGGAAACATAACTGTTAGTGTTGTACGAAGAAGGAAACTGGACAACTTTGCATGGAGTGAGCCTATTACTTTCTTCTTTTCCTTGATTTTCTTGGGAATCAAACGGAGGAGTGTTTACTCTATACCATAGAAACTTTTGTATATGGTTTGTTAAATTGAATTCTAGGCTTTTTTGTGGTTGACTTTTTTAAGGGATGATGACGCTGTTTCAAGTTCGTGCCCGTATATTTAATTTTCATTTTTTTTCAGTCTCCAAATTGATTAAATTTTTGTCTTTCTTCGCAAAAATTGATGTTTTCTGGGGGGTGTTGTTGTTCTTGCAGATCTATTTTGTGGGGTTATTTTTTCTGCCCGGCAATTTTTTATTGTCTTGTCTGCAACTTGGGCATGCAGATTTTATTTGCTATTGAATCAATAAGTTTACTTTTTACCCTTGAACCTTATTGTTTTGGGTAAATATCATAGATACCTTTGAACTTCAATTGTCCCAATTTGATCTTGAACTATGTAATTTGTTTCAATCGACCCTCCCGTTGATATTAGCGGTTATATGAGACAGATTAATGGTTAATTTTAGCGCAATTGGTCTCATATATCCGTTAATCTTAACAAACGGGGTTGATTGAAACAAATTACATAATTCAGGGGCAACTTGAGACAATTTGTAGTTCGGGGTAATTTAAACAAAAGTTATATAGTTCAGGGGACATTTTTGAAAGCAGAGTTTGAATATGGTTCGAGTGTTTTTTGGTATCTACTTCCATTCTGATTGAAGCGATTTTCCTGATTGAAGGTATGTGCGGTGGTCCAGATCGGTCAAAATCCACGTCGTCTACTGTAGAGAACACATCTAACACAAAAGATATGAGTAAATTAACTCTAGAAACTGAAGATTCGTTTTCTAGTTTACTTGAACTTGCTGCTAACAATGACTTTGAGGATTTTAAACAAACGATTGAGCGTGATGCTTCTGGAATTGATGAGGTTGGACTTTGGTATGTCCGAAAGAAAGGCTCGAAACAAATAGCCCTCGAGCATAGAACTCCTCTAATGGTTGCTGCTACATTTGGAAGTGTTGATGTAGTGAAGCTAATTATCTCCCAGCCAGATGTTGATGTGAATCGCGCATGTGGTCTGGATAAGTGCACTGCCCTTCACTGTGCTGCCTCTGGTGGATCTGTCAATGTTGTTGATGTTGTTAAGCTGCTTTTATCTGTGGGTTCAGATCCGAATATTGAAGATGCCAATGGTCACCGGCCATTTGATGTGATCATTATCCCTCCAAAGGTCCCTGGTATAAGAGCTGCACTTGAAGAATTGCTAATGAATAATGTCTCTGATGGCTCGGTTGGTGAGTGGAATTTATGTTTGTCCATTGCTACATCGAACTCTTCCTCGCCAACCCTGTCTTCATCACCAGATAATGTGTCCCCATCTTCTCCTTCTGATTCTGTTTCCTCTCCAATGGCATCTAAATACAATGATGGTCCTGCAAATTCTACCTCAGAGAAGAGAGAATACCCAATTGATCCATCTCTCCCTGACATCAAGAACAGTATGTATTCAACTGATGAGTTCCGTATGTTCTCATTCAAGGTTCGGCCTTGTTCGAGGGCCTACTCTCATGATTGGACTGAATGTCCTTTTGTCCACCCAGGGGAGAATGCTCGAAGAAGAGATCCCCGGAAGTACCATTACAGTTGTGTTCCTTGCCCTGATTTTCGCAAGGGCGCTTGTAGGCGAGGGGATATGTGTGAATATGCTCATGGTGTGTTTGAGTGCTGGCTACACCCCGCTCAGTACCGGACTAGGCTTTGCAAGGATGGCACAAGTTGTGCAAGGCGGGTTTGTTTTTTTGCCCACACTGCTGAAGAGCTTCGACCCCTGTATGTCAATACTGGTTCTGCAATTCCATCTCCTCGGTCATCTGCCTTAGCTGCTAGTGCCATGGACATGGCAGCTGCTTTGAGCCTGTTACCTGGTTCACCCTCATCACACTCTGTGATGTCTTCATCTCCGTTCAATCAACCCATGTCCCCATCGGCAAATTGCATTTCCCACTCATCTGTGGCTTGGCAGCAACCAAATGTTCCAACCCTTCATTTGCCTGGAAGTAATCTTCAATCGAGTCGCTTGAGATCTTCCTTTAGTGCTCGAGACATCCCTCCGGAGGACTTGAGTATATTGCAGGATTTTGATATGCAGCAGCAACTGCTAAATGACTTCTCCTGTCTCCCGCAGTCCCGTCCTAGTACTATTTCTTTGAACCGTTCGGGTCGGTCTAATACACTCGCTCCTTCGAACCTTGAAGAGTTTTTTTCTGCTGAGATGACTTCTTCTCCCCGATATTCTGATCTGGCAGCGGCTACTGGTGTTTTCTCACCATCGCACAAATCAACTGTTCTCAGTCAGTTCCAACAGCAGCAGTCCATACTGTCTCCAATTAACACTAACGTGTTCTCTCCCAAAAATGTTGAACACCCTCTTTTGCAAGCTTCCTTTGGCGTCTCATCTCCTGGAAGAATGTCGCCAAGAAGTGTGGAGCCCATCTCCCCAATGGGTGCTCGGCACTCTGTGTTTGCTCAACGTGAGAAGCAGCATCAACAACTACGCAGCCTCAGCTCCAGGGATCTCGGATCCAACAATGTCTCCACTGTTGGGTCCCCTGTGAATTCTTCTTGGTCAAACTGGGGATCCTCTAATGGAAAAGTAGATTGGTCTGTTAAAGGAGATGGAATGGGTCGCCTGCGAAGGTCTAATTCGTTTGAGCTCAATAATAATGGAGAGGAGCCTGACCTATCATGGGTCCAGTCTCTTGTCAAGGAATCACCACCTGAGATGAAAGAAAAGCTTGCGGTTCCGATTTCTGGAACTGTGCCATCCGGTGAGGGTTTGAAATCCAATTCTCAAATTGATTCAGTTGATCATTCAGTTTTAGGAGCTTGGCTCGAGCAGATGCAACTCGATCAGCTCGTAGCCTAAGTTAACACCGAATTTGTTTTCTCTTACTGTGGTTAAACAAAACTTAGGAAGTACATATTTTTTGGGGATGTTCTTGGCTGGTTTTGAAGTTGATTTTGAGAAAGGTAAGAGCTGATTTGGGAGATTTTGAAGGATAGGAGGATGGCCGAAAAATTTATCATTTATTGTTATTTTTTAAAGCAGAATAAGATGGTGAAAGTGGCTTGTTTTTGGGCTGTATTAAAAGAAAACCAGTCCAGATTGGCTATGTTTCATTGGAAGTTTTTAGGTATATTTTTAGTCCCTTCTATACCTTGTGAAGAAGAGAAGTTTCACTGCAATGAAAATAAATTCGTATTACCTCATGCCTCCCCCCCCCTTCTCTCCTCTTTCCCTTTACCGGTTAAATGATGGCCAGTGGATGAGGCTCTGGTAAGTCGGGTGTACATAAATCTTTTTTCTGTATGCGAAGAGTAGTAGGAGCGACAATTGGGCGTGTTCGTGTTATTTCAAGTTTGTGTTGGGCATTAACAAACTCCAACATAACTTGTTTAATTAATTGTATTGTGCTGATTTATTTATTTTTATGTTGTGTTCCTGGTGGTTCATATAATCTGTGAATACAAAATTTTATTATAAGAACTTAAGTTCATATTATTTCTATAAATTAAAAATTAATTTAATAAATATAATAATAAAAATGAGAAATTTTCTNAATTTCAATTTCAATTTCAATTTCAATCTCTCTCCCTGTCTCTCTCTCTCTCTCTCTGAACTCTTCACACTTTCCACACTCTCTGTCTCTTTCTCTACAATACAATCCAAGCCTGCGTTTTCACTTTCTCCATATATATCAGTCTAAACATATACACAGACATATTGATAGAATTTTCTCTCTCTTCTCGGTGGTATCGAATAAGTGCGTGCTGTGCTTATCAATATCGAATATCAACATCTATGTATGTATTGGATCTGGGTATCTGTCGTTTTCGAGTGAACTTTAGAGAATGGAGGGGGAGATAAAGAGGGAAGCGATTTGCTTCCGATTCTTGTCAAGCTGTTGTTACCAACTTTCTCTCACTACCGATCCATCCATGGATGAATGAATGCTTGTACACTTGTTACTGTTTGTGTTTGTTCAGATCTGTCAAATTTCTCGTCGATCTTAGAGCTTGACTTTACTTGGAGATCTTGAGCATCGGTGAGTTTGTTTGATTAGCTCCATATCTCGCTCTTCATTCATCTTTTCTTTGTTTCTGTTGTTGAAACTTACATCGATGAATTTGAAATAACTTTCGTGTCATGGATGATGGTTTTTTTTTTTTTTTTTTTCCATTTTACCCTTTTGCTTGATTGCCGAGAAAAAGTGGGAAAATTGAAGGAAACATAACTGGGAGTGTTGTACGAAGAAGGAAACTGGACAACTTTGCATGGAGTGAGCCTATTACTTTCTTCTTTTCCTTGATTTTCTTAGGAATCAAACGGAGGAGTGTTTACTCTATACCATAGAAACTTTTGTATATGGTTTGTTAAATTGAATTCTAGGCTTTTTTGTGGTTGACTTTTTTAAGGGATGATGACGCTGTTTCAAGTTCGTGCCCGTATATTTAATTTTCATTTTTTTTCAGTCTCCAAATTGATTAAATTTTTGTCTTTCTTCGCAAAAATTGATGTTTTCTGGGGGGTGTTGTTGTTCTTGCAGATCTATTTTGTGGGGTTATTTTTTCTGCCCGGCAATTTTTTATTGTCTTGTCTGCAACTTGGGCATGCAGATTTTATTTGCTATTGAATCAATAAGTTTACTTTTTACCCTTGAACCTTATTGTTTTGGGTAAATATCATAGATACCTTTGAACTTCAATTGTCCCAATTTGATCTTGAACTATGTAATTTGTTTCAATCGACCCTCCCGTTGATATTAGCGGTTATATGAGACAGATTAATGGTTAATTTTAGCGCAATTGGTCTCATATATCCGTTAATCTTAACAAACGGGGTTGATTGAAACAAATTACATAATTCAGGGGCAACTTGAGACAATTTGTAGTTCGGGGTAATTTAAACAAAAGTTATATAGTTCAGGGGACATTTTTGAAAGCAGAGTTTGAATATGGTTCGAGTGTTTTTTGGTATCTACTTCCATTCTGATTGAAGCGATTTTCCTGATTGAAGGTATGTGCGGTGGTCCAGATCGGTCAAAATCCACGTCGTCTACTGTAGAGAACACATCTAACACAAAAGATATGAGTAAATTAACTCTAGAAACTGAAGATTCGTTTTCTAGTTTACTTGAACTTGCTGCTAACAATGACTTTGAGGATTTTAAACAAACGATTGAGCGTGATGCTTCTGGAATTGATGAGGTTGGACTTTGGTATGTCCGAAAGAAAGGCTCGAAACAAATAGCCCTCGAGCATAGAACTCCTCTAATGGTTGCTGCTACATTTGGAAGTGTTGATGTAGTGAAGCTAATTATCTCCCAGCCAGATGTTGATGTGAATCGCGCATGTGGTCTGGATAAGTGCACTGCCCTTCACTGTGCTGCCTCTGGTGGATCTGTCAATGTTGTTGATGTTGTTAAGCTGCTTTTATCTGTGGGTTCAGATCCGAATATTGAAGATGCCAATGGTCACCGGCCATTTGATGTGATCATTATCCCTCCAAAGGTCCCTGGTATAAGAGCTGCACTTGAAGAATTGCTAATGAATAATGTCTCTGATGGCTCGGTTGGTGAGTGGAATTTATGTTTGTCCATTGCTACATCGAACTCTTCCTCGCCAACCCTGTCTTCATCACCAGATAATGTGTCCCCATCTTCTCCTTCTGATTCTGTTTCCTCTCCAATGGCATCTAAATACAATGATGGTCCTGCAAATTCTACCTCAGAGAAGAGAGAATACCCAATTGATCCATCTCTCCCTGACATCAAGAACAGTATGTATTCAACTGATGAGTTCCGTATGTTCTCATTCAAGGTTCGGCCTTGTTCGAGGGCCTACTCTCATGATTGGACTGAATGTCCTTTTGTCCACCCAGGGGAGAATGCTCGAAGAAGAGATCCCCGGAAGTACCATTACAGTTGTGTTCCTTGCCCTGATTTTCGCAAGGGCGCTTGTAGGCGAGGGGATATGTGTGAATATGCTCATGGTGTGTTTGAGTGCTGGCTACACCCCGCTCAGTACCGGACTAGGCTTTGCAAGGATGGCACAAGTTGTGCAAGGCGGGTTTGTTTTTTTGCCCACACTGCTGAAGAGCTTCGACCCCTGTATGTCAATACTGGTTCTGCAATTCCATCTCCTCGGTCATCTGCCTTAGCTGCTAGTGCCATGGACATGGCAGCTGCTTTGAGCCTGTTACCTGGTTCACCCTCATCACACTCTGTGATGTCTTCATCTCCGTTCAATCAACCCATGTCCCCATCGGCAAATTGCATTTCCCACTCATCTGTGGCTTGGCAGCAACCAAATGTTCCAACCCTTCATTTGCCTGGAAGTAATCTTCAATCGAGTCGCTTGAGATCTTCCTTTAGTGCTCGAGACATCCCTCCGGAGGACTTGAGTATATTGCAGGATTTTGATATGCAGCAGCAACTGCTAAATGACTTCTCCTGTCTCCCGCAGTCCCGTCCTAGTACTATTTCTTTGAACCGTTCGGGTCGGTCTAATACACTCGCTCCTTCGAACCTTGAAGAGTTTTTTTCTGCTGAGATGACTTCTTCTCCCCGATATTCTGATCTGGCAGCGGCTACTGGTGTTTTCTCACCATCGCACAAATCAACTGTTCTCAGTCAGTTCCAACAGCAGCAGTCCATACTGTCTCCAATTAACACTAACGTGTTCTCTCCCAAAAATGTTGAACACCCTCTTTTGCAAGCTTCCTTTGGCGTCTCATCTCCTGGAAGAATGTCGCCAAGAAGTGTGGAGCCCATCTCCCCAATGGGTGCTCGGCACTCTGTGTTTGCTCAACGTGAGAAGCAGCATCAACAACTACGCAGCCTCAGCTCCAGGGATCTCGGATCCAACAATGTCTCCACTGTTGGGTCCCCTGTGAATTCTTCTTGGTCAAACTGGGGATCCTCTAATGGAAAAGTAGATTGGTCTGTTAAAGGAGATGGAATGGGTCGCCTGCGAAGGTCTAATTCGTTTGAGCTCAATAATAATGGAGAGGAGCCTGACCTATCATGGGTCCAGTCTCTTGTCAAGGAATCACCACCTGAGATGAAAGAAAAGCTTGCGGTTCCGATTTCTGGAACTGTGCCATCCGGTGAGGGTTTGAAATCCAATTCTCAAATTGATTCAGTTGATCATTCAGTTTTAGGAGCTTGGCTCGAGCAGATGCAACTCGATCAGCTCGTAGCCTAAGTTAACACCGAATTTGTTTTCTCTTACTGTGGTTAAACAAAACTTAGGAAGTACATATTTTTTGGGGATGTTCTTGGCTGGTTTTGAAGTTGATTTTGAGAAAGGTAAGAGCTGATTTGGGAGATTTTGAAGGATAGGAGGATGGCCGAAAAATTTATCATTTATTGTTATTTTTTAAAGCAGAATAAGATGGTGAAAGTGGCTTGTTTTTGGGCTGTATTAAAAGAAAACCAGTCCAGATTGGCTATGTTTCATTGGAAGTTTTTAGGTATATTTTTAGTCCCTTCTATACCTTGTGAAGAAGAGAAGTTTCACTGCAATGAAAATAAATTCGTATTACCTCATGCCTCCCCCCCCCTTCTCTCCTCTTTCCCTTTACCGGTTAAATGATGGCCAGTGGATGAGGCTCTGGTAAGTCGGGTGTACATAAATCTTTTTTCTGTATGCGAAGAGTAGTAGGAGCGACAATTTGGCGTGTTCGTGTTATTTCAAGTTTGTGTTGGGCATTAACAAACTCAATCATAACTTGTTTAATTAATTGTGTTGTGCTGATTTATTTATTTTTATGTTGTGTTCCTGGTGGTTCATATAATCTGTGAATACAAAATTTTATTATAACTTTATTGAACTTAAGTTCATATTATTTTTATAAACTAAAAATTAATTTAATAAATATAATAATAAAAATGAGAAATTTTTNTTGTTAAATTGAATTCTAGGCTTTTTTGTGGTTGACTTTTTTAAGGGATGATGACGCTGTTTCAAGTTCGTGCCCGTATATTTAATTTTCATTTTTTTTCAGTCTCCAAATTGATTAAATTTTTGTCNTAAAAATGAGAAATTTTTTTAGTAGAAGAATTAAATAAATTATAATTAAATATTGGTATTATATTCTTATAATATTATTTAAATGTGTTAATTGTGTTAATTTTGTGTTATTTGTGTTTGATACTATTCAAATCTATTTATTATTTGTGTAAATGAGTGATTTTAGATGAGTTCGTGTCAAGAAACGGTTAAACTTAGAAATGGCCAATTATAATCAGCTAATTTTATATTGATATTGAATCGTGTTTTTGTGTTGCATTAAAAATTGTCACCATTAGTAGAGGTGATTTCTGCCTATTTTGTGTTTGTTAGTTGGACCCGTAGATATAACGTATATTTCAAATGTGCACGATACTTAAGAGAGTAAAGAGGTATTGATTCCGAGTCTTTTTCATCCATGTTATCCTCTTTGGCCAGGTGGTTGGAAACTCTTGTAGGTGGAAGGTATTATGAGTTGGTCTACTTGTTGGATATAGTAAGGACATCTATTTGGACTCTTTGTGTAAGTTGGGTTGGAAAATCAGATGGGGTTGGATTGGGACTTGAGGATATCTTTTACTTGACTTAGAAAACTAGGCCATTAATGTTGGACTATGAACATGGTTGCTTACCTCTAGAAAACGACTATTTAACCTCTGGTGGTCTCACTCTATTGAATTGCTTGTCATGGTAGTAGTTGGGACTTNGATTGGGACTTGAGGATATCTTTTACTTGACTTAGAAAACTAGGCCATTAATGTTGGACTATGAACGTGGTTGCTTACCTCTAGAAAACGACTATTTAACCTCTAGGTGGTCTCACTCTATTGAATTGCTTGTCATGGTAGTAGTTGGGACTTGGGGGACCGGTGAAAATGGAATATAAACACCTCAAGGCTTGGACTTTAATAGCAAAAGTTACCTTTCCTAGGGGTGTCTATGGCCAGGATACCCACAGGTCTCGTTATCCGGCTCGAAAAAATAGGCCCAAAATTCAATAGGCTCAATAGTTGGCCCGCTCGAGTCTGAGTCCAATATTCTTAAAAAGAGGGTTTGAGTTTGTCCTTAAACCCATTACTTGGTTCGAAGTCCGGCCCAAGAGCCTAATCCAACCTACCATTCCTTTGAAAAAAAGTTATACTTTTAAACTATTAAATTTGAAATTTTGAAATAAGTCTTTCAATATCAAAATTTGAAGTTTTAAAAATTTAATATTATAAATAATATATTATTATTTTTTCATGTATTAAACATATAAGTTTTAAATGGTAGAGTAATACAAATGACAAATAAGTTAGTAGGTGTCAACCTAGTTGAGATTTATTCATTCTATTAGATTTAGTTTATTATTTTATTTTTATCTATTTTGACNAATTTTGAAATAAGTCTTTCAATATCAAAATTTGAAGTTTTAAAAATTTAATATTATAAATAATATATTATTATTTTTTCATGTATTAAGCATATAAGTTTTAAATGGTAGAGTAATACAAATGACAAATAAGTTAGTAGGTGTCTAGTTGAGATTTATTCATTCTATTAGATGTAGTTTATTATTTTATTTTTATCTATTTTGATTTTATTTTTGATTTAAAAATATAATTTAAACAAATATTAAGTTACAAAAATATTTATTATTTTTAAATAAAGATGTATATAAAAAATCCTACAAATAGGGCCGCCCAACAAGCCTGCCCAATAGGCTCATGGGTAGCTTATCCCTACCCGAAGTCAGGCCCGGCCCGCCTAATAACTCACTTGGGTAAGGGCTTGAGCTTACACTATCCAAATCCGACCCGAAAAAAATTTCGCGGGCCTAACCCGGCTTGGCCCATGGACACCCCTAACANTACAAAAATATTTATTATTTTTAAATAAAGATGTATATAAAAAATCCTACAAATAGGCCCGCCCAACAAGCCTGCCCAATAGGCTCATGGGTAGCTTATCCCTACCCGAAGTCAGGCCCGGTCCGCCTAATAACTCACTTGGGTAAGGGCTTGAGCTTACACTACCCAAATCCGACCCGAAAAAATTTCACGGGCCTAACCCGGCTTGGCCCATGGACACCCCTAACCTTTCCTATCATATATCATTTTTTTTATCAGTCTAAATATGAAAAATTACAAATAGAAGGGTATTACTTTATTATTTTGTTAATCAATAAATGCAACTAATTTAAATTAAGGTTTACGATTTAGAACATCTCTTATAGGGTCTTTTTTCTCACTCAACTCTTTATTCTAAAGAGCTAATCACTAATAAATAAGTTTTAATAGCTTCTCTAATTAGACTGGCTAAAATATAGAGTTTTATTTAGCTCTCTATATTTTTTTTTCTTGATATATTGGGAAAAAAACAGGAATTAGTTTAACCCTTATAGGCTATTTGGTAAAGGGGTATGGAGGGGTTTGATAAGGTGGGTTTGAGAAAAATAGTCTAAAGGATCCTTAAATCTCATATTTGGATTAAAAATGTAATCCTGAGTTTCTAAACCAGGCTCGCAGCTGCCTCAAATATTAAACCCATGATTATGGTTTTCGTCAAATCTAAGGGGATGTGTTTGAAAAGATGGGTTAAGGGGTTAAGGATGCAAAAAATAATTGGACCCTTTAACATGAATATGAATTATATTGATCAAGGGGCAAAATATTCATTTATAGAATAAATAATTGTTAATAATTATGATATATCTGTAGATTTTACATGTGTATGTGTTGCTTACCAAACATATGTATAAACTGGATTTTAATGTTGAATCCCATCTTTGTAGAGAGGGGTTTGAGGAAGCCAATTCAAACCTTCTTTAAAAATCCATCCAAACAAGCCCTTAATGCTTGTAGAACTTGGTGGGGGTGGGACTAGGACCTTCACAAAGCTATCTTGCTGTTGAACACCCATATTCTGCTATGTAACTTTTTTTATTTTATTTTTAATAAATGAAAAGATGACTTATATACATTCTACATTAAATGTTATTGACTATAAAATTATTTTTCTACTAGAATATAGAGTCCATTGGAGTTGTATAAAATATTTTACTCTCTATTTCAAAATTTTATTAAAGATACTCTTTATTTCAACAATGATATCCTCTAAAATAGAAAGTAGTATTAGAAATGCTCTTAAAACTTGTATTTTGGTATGATATTCAAGTGTAAACTTTTGGTACTATAAATTTATCTATTAGTGGGTGATTGCGTGAGTGGGAAGATCTTGTTGGTAATTTTCCTTTCTACGGAGTGAAAATTTTAGGAAATGGAAATAGAAATGGAAATGGTATAATTGATGCAAGAGAATCCACTAACTTTAATGGATGAGCCTCTAGAATTGAGAGCTCATTACCCTAGTTAGGGTTTTTTTTCTAAGGTGTCTCCTCATCTGCCCTCTTCTTTGGAATATCCCCAAACCTTTCCGTCTCCCAAAGCAGTGTGATTCATCGAAAAACCCAGTAGGAGTGTTCGTTTCGTCTACATTTTTCTAAACTCTTTAGCTTCCTTAACCTTACCACCTCTCTTCACCTATGTATTGAAGGTACCCATCCTCCCCAAATTCTCTGTATTTCTATTCCATATTCCTCTTTAGTCCCCTTAGACTACCATTCTTTCATTGGTGATTGTTTCAAACCCTAAACCTTCTAATTTTTATTGTATACCCCATTCCTTCTATGTTTCTTATGGTTAATCTGTTATGTCCCTAAGTTTTGTTCCTTTTTTTCTTAATCTGATCACTCTCCATATCTAAAAAACTCTCAAACTTTTCATATCCTCTGATAACCTTTCTTCATTACGACCCTTGTTCGCGGTTTTAGTTCTCACTGTGTAAACTTTTTCCACTCACTCTCAAGACGTTTTTCATCAAAGAATGTTGAGAAATTTTGTCTAGTGGGTCGTTTCTTCACAGATTCATCCTTAAATGAACAGGGTGTGTGCAATGTGTTGCAGAGCACTTGTAAGATGTCTAAAGTTTTCTCAATCACCAATTGGGAAAGAAACATGTATATGTTCATGTTTAAGGGATAAGATGATAGAGATAAGATCCTGAATGAAGGCCCATGGTCTGTTATGGGGGTGTTGCTGGTTCTGAAGACGTGCCAACCTTAGAGTATCATGAGTGATTTTGATTTCCAATTTTGTGAGTTTTGGGTGTAGGTCTGGGGGTTACCTTTGGACATGATGACTAAGAATAACTCCCGGAGGATAGGGATGGTAGTCGGTGAACTGACTCAGTTGGAGGATTTTGATGGAGAATTTCAAATCCAGTGAAATTTCTTAAGGGTAAAATGCAGAATTAATCTGAAATATGAGAGACTTTTCGATTTATGTTATTAGTGTGGTCGGATTGGCCATTCACAGAATCAATGTATGGAGAGACGTCTTTTGGGACCTANAACTGACTCAGTTGGAGGATTTTGATGGAGAATTTCAAATCCAGTGAAATTTCTTAAGGGTAAAATGCAGAATTAATCTGAAATATGAGAGACTTTTCGATTTATGTTATTAGTGCGGTCGGATTGACCATTCACAGAATCAATGTATGGAGAGACGTCTTTTGGGACCTAATGGTCCTGAATTGCGAGCACAAAGCAATCAATCATTAGGTTTTTTTTAGGGAAACTTGGTCTCTGAAAGCTCGAGAGAATATGGAAAAAAGAGAGAAATTTAAAGGAAAGCTACAGGTGACC